AGTGTCCCTAGAATTTGTAACACTTAAAATGAGTAGAACCTGACGCAAATTCCTGATGAAACCTAATTGACTAGGATCAGAAGGAAGGAAAAAAAGTCCTCCCCTATCAGTGGACTTGAGGAGGGGCATGCATGCAGAGGGTGGAGGAAGGGAGGGATTGGGACAGGAGGAGGGAGAGAACCACAGGGGGGATACAAAGTGGATAAAGTGTAATTAATAAAGAAAAAAAATTAAAAAAATAAAACTTTGGATATTTAGTGAATCAAGCCAATTATTGAATAGACACTCATGATCAAATTTACATACTAAAAATAAGTATCATTTGTAATCATTTAAAATTTGCAAAATAAAACATGGAACGTTGAGAGAGCAGCATGAAGGTCCTTGCACCTAAAGATCTCCGGAGAAACTTGGAATGTTAAACACGTAAGATTATCTTTCCAGTTGGAATAATGTAAAATCTGTTTTTCTATCCAGAAAATTGGGAATTGGAAGAGATTAATAACATGGCAATCTGCTAGGCTAGTTCATATTAAGCTACTACAACCAACACCATAGCTGACAAGTCACCTAAATGACCCTGAATGCTAAGGATTTCCTCCAAGCTCTCACAACCGGGACCAGAGATAGGTAATGGCACAAATGACCTCTATTTGTGTGACCAAGACAAAGCAAAACACTTCCATAGTGCCTGTTTTTAGAACCCATCTTCTTGGAAGAAATGGCACGTACCCTGACTTGAGTTTTGACATAATTATGTTTCCTTGCGCCCTGGTGACTGTATTACATCAGGAAACTTTTTTTTCCCCAACTAGTAACGTGTTTTAAATATAACAATGAACCATCTGACATCAGACTCCCTGAAGTCTTGATGCAGTTGACAAAGTCAATCTGAACTGACTTTTTAATTCTCACCTCTTTTTGGTTTGTTTCCCTGACTTCCATGGTCCCCTGCAGGGACCTCTTCAGTAATATTAGAAAAGGCTATTTTTTTTTCTTTTATGTGTCAGTAATCAGATATACCAGTGCAATGGTTTTCCAGCATCATGAGATTTGTAAGCATGAATAGAGATGATACTTCAAAGTAGTTTAGGAAGTTAGCTGGCTTCAATAACCCACAGACTCTCCTCTAATAGTCTTGGGTAAATAAATAAACCTTAATGAAATTTTCCACAAATGTCTGAACTTTCCCACTATGCTTAGGTGAGCTATCTGTCCTTTTATTTTGGATTTTAAAAACTCCAGTTTAGACTGGATCTTCTTCTAGATCATATGAGAAAATAAAATGAAGTATATCCTGTAGTTCTATCCAGTTTACTTCTTCGACCTTCATATTCAGTACAGGCTGTTTTAAGAATTTAGATACACCTCAGATCATGGGAGCATCTTGGTCTCTCTTTACTCTTGCCCTTTCCACTCAGGGAACAGTTTTCAATCTCACCAGAGTCAGAGAACTTGGAGTGAAGAGCAGACCATAGTGGGGTTGGGTTGCTCTCCTTTTCACCTCTAGTCTGGACTTTCATAAGGGCACTTAAGTAATCATCGGTCCTACCCCCCATCCCACCCCCAACACACCATGAGTTTATTTGTGACTTTCTCAAAGAACCCCCAGTATATTATTCTCCATTTTAGTTGACTTTGTCTGTTTCCTCTGTGGGAGTTAGTCCTCTGATTAGTTATTTGTGTTTCAACATAGAATCTGTACATGTGACATTATTCTGTTGGTGAAGATAACTCTAAGGAAGGTCCCATATGAAGGCTCCATTGGTATTTTAAGAGCCAACAACTTTATGTTTGCATTGGAAGACCAGAAGCCTGCCTCTGGCTTTTTGTAGAGGCAAGGGCATCTTCAGCCTCTACTGTGCTTTTTAACTTCAGGCTCTATCTTCATTCTCTGCAAAAAGCTCATCAAGCTCTCTGAGTAGTTTCCTTGAAAGCCTTCTCTTTTTTCTAAGTAGAATGGAATTTACTCCTTAGCCCATGGTATGTAAAGTAAAGCCAATTGAAACTCTTTGAAATAATGATGTTTCTCCTTCGTCATTTTATTGGAGTCTTTGTAGAGTTAGAAAAAACATCCTGTAGTTGAGAAAATAAAGATATTTTGGCAGAAGAAGAAGCTGAGAGATAGAGTCAGAGGACAAGAAGGGAATGATTGGTCTCTAAAGGAAATTGGAGTCTGGAGACAGCAGTTCTTGTTATTATACTAAACAAGTGAAGGAGTATATTTGGATGTTACAAATCTGTTCAGTTGGGAGAAAGATCATTTGAAATACTTGATATATGGATAGGAAAATGTAAAAGGATAGAAAGAATGATTAAAAGTATAGAAGCAGAAATACTTAAGACAAGAGAAAATAGTTTCACAAAGGAAAAATTTTACTAGAGAAAATTAGGAAGAATGTGTAGGAAAAGAAATGACTCTAGAACAAAAATGATTGCAAAGTGAGAGAAGGGAAATTTCAAATAAAATAACTGGTGGTCTTACCTGATCATTCAAGAGGGTGAGACAAAGGGAGAATGACTCTATCTGCAAACATCTGATGGCAGAATCTAATAGTGGTTGCTATGCTACTGCTTCTGCAGTAGTGGGCTGGTGAAACACAGTGCCTTGAGCTGGTTAGACAAGCACACAACTGAGCTACATCCATAGTACAGACAAGTACTTTTAGAACTCTCATGAGATAAATATGGTTGTAAGGATTACAGAAATAGAAGAACTAAGAAACAAAATCTGCAAACGGATACAATTTTGTTTAGCTGTGTAGAAAAATAGCTGCACAGAGAAAATTTTAATAAAAACTACAATAGAAGCAGTTAGAAAAGATGCAGCCTTTGTCTATGTCAGACAATTTGTAAAACACTTTGAGTGTGTTGAATTGGTATACACCACTAATGAGTCTGCTCAATCCAAATGACACTTTGGCACAGTACGAAAAGATCTTTTGCGACACAAGGGACATATGACCACACCTACCATAGAAGAAGACTTGAGAAAACTATATGATAGTTTTCTCATAGCATAATGACAAATATTTTCTAAGATTTATTTTGATAGTGTGTGCATATGTGTGGAGGCTATTATGCAAACCCAACAAAGTAGCAAAGACCAGCTACAAAGTAGCAACACTGTAATTTTATGGTTGGGGTCACTACAATATGAGAGTAAAAAAGGGTCATAGCATTAGCAAGCTTGAGAACCACAGGAAGTGTATGTAGGTGTCAGAAAAGGATCCTTTCATTAGAGAAAGTCTAAACTAGACCTCATTGCTTTTGATGATGAAGTGTTACATGCAAAGAATTGTGAATGAAATAAACGCTTTCCTCCTGTGTTGCTTTTGTTCAGGGTATACATCACAGCAATAGAAAACCTAAAACAGCATAAAAGAAAATCACTGGAAAGACAAGGTTTTACTGACCTAGGTTTAGTCCAGAATTGTCCAGAATTGTTTGAAGATACAATAAGACAACTTTATTGAAGAGGAGATTTTAGGAGACATGACAGAGAAACTTAAGGCCAGATGACAACAGACAGGAGTGATATGAGCTTTATTTAAGAGACAAAACACTATGGCTCTCTGATAAGGGGATCAGAACTGGACTGCCAAGCATTCTTTGCAAGCATGCTTAGGTTTTTCTTAGGAAACTAGAGCAGAACTGAGTGAAGAGTAGAAGGCAAGGAATGCTTTAGAGTGAAGGGTGTTTAATGGGAGGGGGAGGATCCTATGGAATAGTAAAATGGATCTGTACATTAGAAAGGTAGGTATGAGGGTGTATAGCCAGAGTCTTTAGGATGGGATGTGGAAGAGTGTGAAATTATCAGCGCTCTTTAAACACTGATGTGCTCCAAAGAAAAATAGAATACACTCTGAGGCTGATATTTACATACTTATTAGTGTTGAAATATTGCTACATTTCTGCCCTGAGTGACAAAAGAACTGCAGGTACCTAAAATAAAGCTCCAGTCACCAGTGCCTGAAAGCCCTGTACAGTCAACTTAGGACACCTTTATAGTAAGGTTTGTGTCTGCTTGCAATTTCGCTTGCTGAAATAATTTCAATTTTATGTCACTATAGTAGTTTCCCATTTTGTGTTATTTATTTTTTTGCCTTAAACTTCACATTTATGGTAGCCATTTTCTCCTTCTGCTTCCCTGTACAATGTTAATGTCACCAACAATAAACGGTTTAAAAATATTCACAAAAATTCAAGCATGCCAATTAAAGAATATCTATTGACTACTTGAGTAACAGTACAGATTTGTATACTAAATATGCACATTATAAAAAGGAGAATGTTGTCACTACGTTTAAGAACTGTGTGTCTCAGGTGTTTGGAGTAGCAATGTGTTGATCAATAGTTGTAAAATGTTAAATAATATAAAATACGGTTATAGTAATGTTATGGTACACAATCGAAATCCATACTCACAATTCTTAAACATATATATCCTGAAAACTGGTATTTCATTGAAATATATAGCAAAACTAGTTCTTTTAAAGATGAAACCATAGACTTTTTTTTCCGTGAAGTAAGAATATTTATAGCATTCTCTTCAAAAGTATATATAGGTGTAATTAAGACTGGTCCATAATACAAATTATACACAAGCAGAAAATCTGAACTCCACAATAAAAACAGTTATGGACTGAAGAGGTGGCTCAGAGTTAAAGTGTTTGGCAGACAAGCAGTAAGCATGAGGTTTGGACATGCTAGTGCTGTGTTGCATGATGCTCTGTTTGTAACTTAATTCTTAGAAGGGTCCCTAATTCTTCCATTCTACACATACACACACGCACACACACACACACGTGTGCCGATATACTCTGATTTTGTATAAGGGAAAGTTTGATAAACAGTAATTTTTTTATGAATTTTAATTCAAAAGCAATTATATACTCAAGAGGAAAGTAGTTACAGGAATGGACATGAAGTAAAGATTATTAAAAGCTTGCTCAATTAGGAAATTTGAAAATTTCACAGTCTGTGCTACAGAAACATACCTGAGGTAGGGCTGAGTTGAGCTGTCTCTGAAGTGAGTCTCTGTCGTAGATGACATCCTGAAGTCTTTGCTGGGCCAGCGAGAGGCTTTCCTGGGTCTCTCGAAGTGTGTCCAGTAGACGGTCTCTTTCATCGAGCATATTGACCATCAGCTGCTCAAAATGGGAGTCTGAGTCGGAGCCACTGCTTTGGGACCCCCGTTGGCTCATTGGGGTGTCCTCATTAATCGTCGGCATCACTTCACACATCATTGCTTAAAGAATATGAAGAGAAAGTTTTAGTGAACAAATTATTTTCAGGAATCTCCCCTCCCCCCATGGCTTTCATCTCATTTGAGTTTTTGCAGGTCATTAGGTTCTTCCCCCTACCTCCTGCCTCCAGTCTAATCCAGAGGAAGGTGTGGACCTCAGGGAGATATGGTCTATTTCTTCACTGTCTGAAACCCATATGCTTTCACCTGTCATGGAAATCCACACATGTCTCATGTACAATATTTAACCTGCCCATTTGCTTCTCCATTTTCTTTTGCATAATTTCCCACTCAAAACAATTTGATTTATAGAAACACATTATTTCAATAATCATTCCTCCCCTTCTCCACCCCTCTGAGTTTACAAATGTCTTATAACAAACACTGTACCTTATTTCTCAACAAGTACATTTTATGTTTCAGTGAGTGGAAACTATAATTTTTGAATGATGTGCAGATAAGTAACCTAATATTTACTGTTTTAAGCAAAAAAAACAACAACAAACAAACAAACAAATAATTGACTATTTTAGGTAATAAACCATTATCTTCTCACTTCTTCAACAGATTTCCTCAACAACTAATTCAAGCCTTTTAATGTGATCATTTTTATTTGTTTTCTTGTTCTGTCTTTCAGAACTGTACACAGACTTGATAAGTGGTACAGATTGGATTAGTCATAAACTTTAAGAATTAGTCTGAGCCCCATGAATTTGTCTTGATTATTATACTGCTAATTACACTTAGTATTCCTGTTAGATGCATTGTCTGGTTTTCATCCAAACAATATAAACTAACACTCTTTCAAATATTCCACAAACAGATGCAGTAAATTGCATTACCAAATACAGTCACTTCACTTCACAGCTGCTAAGCACAAACTCTCAGTCATAGAATAAATGGACTGCTCAGAATGCTTTTTAAAATTATTTATTAATTTTATTTAAAGCAGACTATATCAAAATTCACATGTAGTATTGTCTTATCACATGTGGCATCTTTAAAAATGAGAACTTAACCCATTTCCATTTTCACCCTGTGTATGTGTGTGTGCGTGTGTCTAATTCCTCTTAATTTCAGTTGTGGAATAGCCAGAAGCTAGCAGAGAGCCTGGTTTTGCAGAAAGTATGATTTGAGGAAAGTCTGGTTTGGATGTGGGTCCCAGAGCTTTCTCTCGATTTTATAATGGAAGGCAAATTCATTATATATATATTGAATACATATATACATATGTATGTATGTATGTATATTCTTGGTGATATTTTGAAACTAGCTGGTGCTATTTTGAAATAAAATGTCAAGACATAGCCATTCAATATTAATTACTTTTTGTGATTCTTTGTGTTAAAGAGCAAAACTTAATTATTTGTGAATTATTTGGTCATGGATCATTGGAAATTGAGAAAAATTTTAAGAATATGAAAGGAACTTATTTTGTGACAAGTAATCTAGATAAAGAAAAGAAAGAATTGGAAATTTCTAAAATTAAAATATTTTGAAACTTTGGTCATCACTTAAAACACTGAGCTATATCAAGTCAGTGACTTGACTCACATATTTCATACTTTCCTTGAGGTAAATTTCCAACTTTATACATAAAATTTCTTTACAGGCACACTCACACCACAAACTTTAACATTAACTATTTAATGTAAATTTTACACTTTTATCTTTTTTATTTTCATTCATGGACTATCACAGAAATTACATCCCCCATGTAATTGCTACAAATCCTCTTTAAGCTAATTTAAAAACAAAACAGAACAAAACTTTTCAACACATTGTCTTATTTAAAAGGGTTAATTCACATGCCATATGTGACATTCATACGTGAACTAACTGAGACACTCTGATAGATGAGACCACGAGCATATGTGTTTATTTTTTTTTACATTGACTGTTAAAACAAAGTACCAGAACAAATTCTTCCAGAACATAAAGTTCTCTACACGATCATCAGCAATTATTGTAAAGCATACCCTTATAAAAGAAAAGCCATTGCTAACAACTTCAAATTTAAATAATGACTGTCATCATTAATCCAAGCATAAGTTTCACCCTGCTAAAGTATACTACTTGTAGGCAACCTCTTGTTAGTAGGAGACACTGGACAGTCACAGACTGAAGACTTTCAGATCAGTCTAAAAGATGGTCCTGGGTTTGATCAGCCAGAACAGGGCTGGGTGAAAAGCTTAGAAAGCCTACCCAAATCTATATGTTGAATAACCTAGGACCATCCCACCAATGAAACATGTGAAACAGAGCAAGTTGGTTTGCCTCTCAAAATTTTATGATTCTCTCCGCAATGTAAGAATGATAATCTGTTCATAAAATCCCCACTTTAGGAATTCAACAGACAACACACGGTAAAATATATAAGGAATTGTTATAAAACCCCAACCGTGTTGTCTGTTACAAACTGATCAGCATTTGTCCTTACAGAAATGAGGTTGTACATTAAAACTCTTGTTTCTAGGCCTACAGCTGTAATTCTAGCAGATACTTCTGAACTCTCCAAATTCAAGTCATAAAAACTCACGTGATGCAAAATTACTTAGAAAATATGATAAATGCATGGTAATTTCTTCCCAGTCAACCCAAATGAGCAAATCTATAGCCCTTTCCTCCAAAATTGAAAAAAAAAATCAAGCAAACAAACAAAACACAAAAACTGTCTACAAAACCTATGAAAAATATTTTGTAGCGCACCAGCATGGTACAAAAGAGATGGTCATCCAGCATCTTGTGCACAACACCCAGATATATCACATTTTGCTTTAACAGTCATTTTTTGGAACTGAAAATGAAAACATTACACCACCACTGAGAAGCAAGTCAGCGCACACAGTTGGCTGAGGTATTGGCCTTTTCATCATCCCTCCCTCAAGTCAATGTGAAATATAATTTTATTAGCTTCATCTAGATATAATTGACTTGATGCCAAACTATTGAAGGTTTCAGCACTCAGTTTCAGACAGTGCAAAATTTATTTTAAAGAGAGAAAAAAATAATAATAATCCTGATTGGTTTAATTATCTCAGTGCTTAAATTTAGCACGAATAATTTTATACTGAGAAAACCAACTCCCATGCTGTCAGCATATAACCTTGAGTGTCTTCTAAATCTCTCAAATTCCAAAATAAAAGTTCTGAATGTCCATCAGAGTCATTCAGCAAGGATTTTGAGATCCAGTGTGTTCCTTAGGAATATATGTTCTTATGAGCTATATCTATTCAGACAAGAGTATTTCAAAAGACTTTTACTCCTCTAGGTCAATAACTTCATTTCATTATATCGCTAGAAATTACACTCTACCACGGGCAAAGCAGCAGCCATTCTCTGTAGTAAGTTTCTTTGGCAAAGGTTTAGTCTTCAGAACCTCCCAGCTCCATCTCCGTTAACCCGCAAGGAGTAATTCAGTAAGAGAAAGCCTAGCCATTGTCTGATTACATTACACGAATATTCCTCCCCCTCTTTAACTCTTTGAAATCCCTGTCCTCAGGAAATATTCCTGCCACCTCTAATGGAAGCATTTTCACTTTCTCTCCCCAGCGTCTGTTCAGATGGCCAAACAGCAAGCTCACCCCACACTGCTGGACAGTTACTGCTCAGCCACACCCCCCGCCACCCCGAAAGAAGTTGACTTCATAATTTCCATACTAAAATTGTTCATCTGCCCCAGGAGAGCGCCAGCTAGGCAGGATGCAGGGAAATAGGAGATGGAGAGGATGGGTGGAAAGCGAAGGTAACTAACAGTAACCCGCAAGGAGGACTTTGCATCTCTTTCCCTGGGGGCGGGGTGGGGCTGGGGAGGTGGTTTATAAAAAAAAATTAAGCGGAAAAAAAAGCATGCAACTCGAATAGTTTCTGTACCTAATGTCTCTAATTTCAGGTCCTGTTTCTTCAATTGATCAATGACAATCGCAGTCTAGTCTCCGCTGGCAGAGAGGTGAGGCTCACACCCAGCAGTCCTGGACCATTTCCCTAGCAACCGGAGGAGAAAGGCAGCTTAGATGCTCTGGAGCCCAGGCGTTTTCTTGGAACATGCCCTGGCTCCGTAGCGTGGCAGCAGCTCGGCATCTTCCCGCGGCTCCGTCAGCAGCCAAAAGGAGAAGGGTCCATCGGAAAAATGGCATATTACAAATTTTGCTTTGGGAAGCAGAGCTCGGTTCAGACCATTGTCAAAGGGAAAAGAGGGGGAGGCGGTTCTTAAAGCAGCCGCGGCCCCTTTGCCGCCCAGCAGCAGTTGCAGCAGCCTTCGCGTGCAGCAGGAGCCCCGGGGCGGAGAGCTGGTAATCCGGGACTGGATCTGACTTTCAGAAACTTAACGTAGCTCAACTGCTCCCTACGGTCTCCCGGGCCACCCAGCGGGTGAAGAAGCGTCCCTCCAAACAGGAACTTCTGGGTAAACTGTGGGAAGTGCCTATCCAGAAGGGAAATTCTCCACCCGGAGCCCCTGTGGAGTTTATGATAAAAGCTGGGAGTTTGATAGTTAAAAGGAAGTGAGTCCCATTGGGGATGCAAGAAGCAGGACAGGTCTTCTCTGGGCACCCAGCCTACTTCTATCCTAGGGTGTATCCTTTTGCTTAAATAAAGTGCTTCTTTTCTGGGAAGGGAAGCAGCCACACATCACACACATCGCCGCCCCCAAGGCACCGCCCCCCCTCTCCCGCAGCCCATGGCACCACCAATTTTCTCCTTCCAGCCTCTCTGCAACTCATCTGCTTACATCAGTTGGCCGACAGAACCAACCTGCTGGGAACAAGTGAGGATGCTATAGCATCTCACTTGCCTCATGCAAGCCGCTGCTACTCCTCCTTCTCTGCCTCCTCCCCTCCTCCTCCTCCTCCATCTCCTCCTCCTCCTCCTCCTTGGCAACCTCCACCTCCTCTTCCTCTGGAACAAGGGCTTCCCCTGGAAGCTGCTGCAGTGGTTTCCACCGGCCCTTAAATAAATTCTGAAGTAATCACGTCTTTGCTCTCCTCCTCACGCACACACGCTCGTGGATACACTTGTCTCCCCAAAAGCTTCTCCAAGGCTGCCAAAAATCAAACTGCTCCCAGTGTTCCCGACAATGACGAGGGCCACGGATGAGCTAAAGTGTAAAGGGGGTCTGCTTTACTCTACCTGAGCTTCTGTCACACAATCATCTTTATAGGAACGCTTGTGTTGGCATGCGCTCTTGGGAACAGGGAACCTTACGGCTCTGTGGCCTTCCGTATTTGTCGTGGCTTTCCACAGCTTTCTTCCCTTGAACCAGAGGCAAGTTAGTCATCCCATAGGAACTGAGTAGGTCTAGGGTGTGGCTGTCTCTGTCACTTTGCATTAGCTCTTCAGGGCTCTTCCATTCATGGCCTTAGTGATCAGGATCTGGGGTAAATGCTCCCTGCTTGCAGAACTAAATTTCATCTTTCAACAGTCTGGCAGCTCTAAGAGCATGTTCCAGTCCCTATAACACCTCTCTCTATATATATGAATCTCTCTCTGGAAGAGAGAGAGAGAGAGAGAGAGAGAGAGAGAGAGAGAGAGAGAAAGAGAGAGATTCATATAGATCAAGAATAAGGAAGCAACAGTAGACAAAAGTGGATACATATATTTTGAAATGTTTGAATGAGGTAGGTTGTGATGCACTAAGAGAATGGAAAAAGAATTAAACATGAAGTACACAGTGGAAGTTACAGCAAATGCCCACAGTAAGCAGCGTAGAGATCCTAGAGGGGATGCTTTGCTCATACTTGAAACAGAGTCTAAATGTCACTAAGAAATGGTGTTCACATCCTGACTGCCTGAAGTATCATCATCACCTCACGGAGTTCTTTCTTAGGGAAGAACTCATTAGTTGATGACTTCACAGTAACATTTAAGATGAACCACATGAATTTTGTCCCTTTCTCTCCTAGACTGTTACTCAAGTTTTCAATCACACTCTAAGAATTAAGTGTAAAAATATTAAACAAACATGGAATTTATTATATGCTTAACGGAGCACTGTGTCTCCAACATTCTCACTTGTGGACCCCATTACCTTGTAGATGCTTGAAACTCTAAGGCTAGAGTGGACCCTGAGAGTCCACACTCCTAACAGTGCCTACACTGCATTGGTGTGAACAAACATGTCCAAAAGGAAGCCGTGTTGGTTGAGACTAATTGACTGGAATGCACTAATGTACAAAGATTGGAACTTTCCAGGTCCAGAGGCTCATTCCCTTATCTTGGGCTAGTTTAGCTCCTAGGAACAATCATTCCTTGCCTGGTCTGTGTCAGGACTCATATCCTGTAAATAACAGATAAAAATTGTTTTGTAGGAGACTACCAGCTTCCCAAACCCAAAAGCTAAAACAAGAATGCCTTTAGATAGCATCTTGGGCCCACAGAAGAGTTTCCCTTATCTTACCATAACTGCCTCTCTGCTGTACCCAATATATTTTAAACTCGCCTTGATTTATGACTTTCTTTGTTCTACAAAACTACAAAAATTTGTAAAACTGTTGAATGATGAGATTTTTTGCTAATACATAGGTGTGTTTCCAGGCTGTAATCATTCAAAAGTGGCTCCAGAGTAAACTATGTAATAATTCCTTTAAGGTGACAGCTATGGCTTTTGTGTCAACATTAGCAAGGTCTAGACCACCAGCCAAACTACTCCATGAGCACAATTTATTTATTTATTTGTTTGTTTATTATTAATTAATTTATTTTAAGGCATAGTTTCACTATGTAACACTGGTTGGCCTCACACTACCAATCCTACTGACTCAGCTTTTTTGGAGTCAGGATTGTAGGTTTATACCACCAGAAGCCAGGCCCTCAATTCACCATTTGGTATTCCTCAAGTTCACATAATCTTGGAAAATAGATTGACACCTGAGTCCATCTTCTAGACAATCTAATATTGCGATAGCCACATTATATTATTCACGTCAGTGCTCAGAACTTCCATTGTCTGGGATGGCACACATGACTTAAAAATGTCTTTTAACTTTCAATTTTTTTTCAAAAAAGCTGCTTTGATGTGTGTTTGTGTGACCATAGTTACATTATGAAACCCTCATTTTAGTTTCATGCCAGTAAATAGCTTCTAAGTGTTCTTAGCTGGGCTCGGTGGTGCACACCTGTAATCCCAGCACTCATGGATGAGAGGCAGGCAGATCTCTATGATTTAGAAGTCAGCCCTGTCTACAAAGCAAGTCCAGGACAGCCAAGACTACACAGAGAAACCCTGCCATGTAAAACAAAACAAAAAAGAAAACATTCTTACAGTTTTCAAGAGTTCTTATTTGCTTGATTCCCACAGAGCAGATAAAAGTTTTAATTTTAAGTGTCACAATCACAGCTGACACAGAATATTTTCCAAAGGCTACCCTGTAGTTGATAACACCAAAAAGAACGGTAATAAAGGCAAGCAATGACCACAAAGTAAGAATTATTTTGGAAAGAAAGCCATCATCTTCTCAATCACTCTCACCTTAGAAATATCCCATCCTGCCTATAGCATAAAGGCAGAAGCTCTCCACACTCCCTATCAAACTGGGGAAAGGTTCCTACAGAAAGTAACTTCACACAGGCATCAGATCAACCCGTTGGTGAGAACACAAGGGTCACCAACTGTGTATGTTCCTATAGCTTAGTGACCATCAAAGTGAGCAAACAAGAAATAGCCAGGGCAGCTTCTTACAATGGACATTGCCTGGCCTCCTGCCCCGTGGCTGTGCGTCTGTCAGATCAATGATGCTGTCTCGGCATTTTATTTCTGAGAAGCTCCAAAGTGGCACTAGTACTGCCAGATCAACATCCCACATCGACAATCACTGCTTAAATATTCAGAGAAACTTTAAAAAATACAAGAAAAAGAAGTACGAAATATTCACACATGAGGTGGAAAGTTTTTGTATGCTTTATATTATATGAAAACAATTTTTATGTTAAGGCTACAATCTGCTTCCATTGATTTCAATAGATTATGATGAAGTACACCTATCTGCAAATACATGATTACATTTACCAAGCGTGGTGGCTTCCTTTTTATTAGTAGTATTAGTACATATTATCAAAATATGAATTTAGTTAGTAGACACGTCTAGGATCATGGTTTTAGATGGCTAAAGCTTTTTTGCACTTTTTATTTTGCAAATAACTACTTTGTGCATTCTTTCTCTAAAGGGAAGATAGCACAAAGCTAGTCTTGTTTATACTCTCCATGTTCTATCAAATTAAATGTTAGTATTAGCCAGGTTCTCTAAAGGAACAAACCTGATATAATGAAAATACATAAATGGGTTATAGGTGTGGCCTGCCTAATTGGGGATGGCTATCGAGGTGTGGCTAGCCAAACCACATGTATAGTCTCAATGGAAAAAGCTAAGAATCCAGTATTTGTTCATTGCACCAGGCTATAAATGTTCTCTGGTCTTCAGTGTACATTGGAATGCCAAAGAAATAAGTTCTGGTACCAGCCAAGGTATGCCTCAGCCACAGGATAGATGAAATAGCCCATAAAAGAGAGAGCAAACAGGTAAAAATCAACAGCTTTCTTTTTGTAGTCTTTTATGTGGGCTGCAATCAGAAGGTGTAGCCCTGGGTTTGTGCAATGGAGGAATGCTTGGTCTTTCATAGCTTAGAGTGATAACAGCTACTGATATTATCTAAATTGATATTATATTACATGATAAATAAAGAAAATACAAATATCCACTTAGCAAATGTGTATGTGTGTACAAACACATTCTTTTAAAAATAATTTTATTTATATATTTATTTAATATAATTTATTCACTTTGTATCCCTGCTGCAGCCCCCTCCCTTGTACAAACACATTCTTTCAAAAATATGATGAAAACACTCATGTTGATTACAATCTTAATTTCTACAGATGGTCGCATGGCCTCAACTAGCAGTTATAATTTACCTTGCTCCATTACTCATTCTTTTTTCGTTCGCCCATAGAAAGAAAGTGGGTCTTGGTAAGAGGAGTGACTCTTACCTTCATTCATGAAGAATTTAGGCCTGGATTGGGTCGTTGAAGCTTCCCGTTGACTTTAAACACAGTACAAGATAATACCAAGAGATGTCCTAAAGGAATTCCTACACTCTGAACTTAAAATTTCTTATCTCTC